AGCGCAACACAGGGGATGCGGCCTTGATACCAGGACCCTGGGGTCATGACGTGAGCCAAAGTCAGACACTTAACTGACAGAGCCATGCAGGTGTCCCTGTAGGAGATTTTTTTCATGTTTAGTGCAACTTAATATACTTTTAAGTTCTCTAAATGAGATGTTGTCATTTTCTTTTTAGGATGATGAAGATGATCATAATAGCAGTACCATTTATATTGGCAGGGGGATGGGGAGCTGGAGGGAATTCTTAAATGTACTTTTTATTATCTCCCTTCAGGGTTTATATTTTTAAATCACAGAAGTAACTTTGGCTTTTCTTGTTGGGATCCCACAGGCCCCAATGCAGTGCCTTTAGAGTTGTTTTGCAGATAGAGAATTTTATCTAACTGTGTAAAATTACATCTCCAGTAGAGGGCAGTGTGTTCCCATGCATCCAAAAGACTTCCATGGATGTTTTAGAGGCTTAAAGAAGTTTAGGACTGCTTTCCTTAGACCAGAAATTATAAATTAATTACAGTGCACATAGTCTTACATCACTCACGTGGAAAATACATCACTAGACACATGGACACGTTAAGATCAGAAAACCTCTATCAAATACTTTTTCGGCTAGGTAACAAAATTTTGATGAGACAGTTTCTTCTGTCAAATTTAACATTATGTTGCATATGTACACATGTGTTTATAGCCAGCTTAAATCCTTTTTAGAATGGGGCTATAAATTAACAATATGCACTTTTATATAACCTGTAATTGAGATTTCAGATTTCTCCTTTTCTGATTATAAGACAGTCCTTGAATTGTACAAATTTAGAAAGCCACTGAAAAGTAGAACTACATTTTTGGACCTGTTTTTTCCAGACCCTTTTTGCTTTGGTAATATGCACATTGATATTTTTTTTTCCCCCACTGAACGGTGAATTGTGAATAGCTTTCCATATCTATAAATACGGATCTTCATCATCATTTTTAGCAGGTGTCATCCAGGAATTACCTGTGGTTGGTGTAATCTGTTTAACCAATTTCCTGTAGGGGGACATTTAGGTGTCCTTTTCCCCCCAAGTTTTCACTCTGATATACACAACCCTGGATCTTCTTCTGCATACATATTTGTGCATATTGCTGAATATTTTGTGAGACTTAATTCCTGGGAGTGGAATTAGACGTTTTTTAAAAAACTTGGGCGTGTTGCCTAAATTTTCTCATGAAACCTAACCATTGCATGCTGGTCAGCAGTGTATAAGAATGAAAACAACTATTTGAATTTTTTCAGTTTAAATAAACAAAGTACATTGGTCACAGTCCCGTTTTGTAGTCTCCTGCTAGAGGGATGTTTTAATAGCCCGATGGAATCTTGTCTGACAACTTCTGTGAAGACTTTTCCATCTGGGGAGCAGCACAGAATATGGGAGCTCTTATTAGCATCAGGCAGATCTAGGCCAAATTCCAGTTTCTCCACTTGTTAGCTGTGTGACCTCAGGCAGATTTCCCAGTCTCCCTCCATCTCGGATAACTCCCCTGTAAAGTGAAAATTTTCACCTGAGAGGGTTGTCCTGAAGAGCAAAGGAAGAGATAGTGTATTTTTTGAAAAGTGGACGGCCTAGAAGGAAGATACTCTTTCTTTTGCCTTCGCTCTGCCTCCACATTCAGTGTCAGGAGCTGGGGAAAATAAACTGGGGGAACCAGGAAAGTCACATCATTTCTCTTTTTGTGTTGTGTGGCCCTAACACAGACCTTGACAGTCATTAGGACTTGATGGTTGTTGATTGTAACCAACAATTGGCTAAAAGTGACAGAAGCAGCAGGGTTTCCAGGTTCCATGCTGGGTCTGAATATGACGGCTAAAGCTTTTTAAGACCTAGATCAGCCTTATTTATGGACTTGAATCACTACAAAGGTTCTCTTGCCCATGAATCTTACCCACTTTACATTTTGTATTCCCAAGTATTCAGCAGATGCTCTGTGATGGCCTCTGTAGTCTGAAAGTTTTTACAGAAAAGAAGATCAGATTTCAAGGGAGCTGGGCATTGTTCCTCGGAAATGAACTTACATTGAAATTTTTGATCTTTAAAGAGAAAAAATTGCAGAGTTAAAGAGGGCCATCACAGTTCTTTTATTATTTGCTAAGACTACTTTTAGTCATAATAGATTGATTCTTGTCTGAAGAAAGATTAGATTTCTGAATATTAGGTATTTTAAGAACTTACTCCCTTTACCCCCCTCACACAGTATATTTCAGCATATCACCGCCAGTGGGCATGTTCTTCTCTTCTCTCATTAGTATTCTGTCTTTAAAAGTCACACTTGTAGTCACACTTAGTGGGTATCCAAAGAGAAGACTTCGTGCCGCTTCTTAAAGAGCGTATGCCCTTATTTTTGTTCTGTCTTAGTGCTGATGGCCAGACTGGGTGACCTTCTGCTGAAAGGTATTATCTCTGCTGTTTCTTCATAAGGTTATTCTATAGCATTTGTTTCTGACTTATTAGTTAGGGGAAATGATTTCAGATATCTGGAGGACAAAGAGTTCCATATAAAGCTAGTCTTCAGATGTCTAAATTATGTCTGTAAAGCAAAATGGTTGGGCATTTTGCTGTCGTTTCCATAGCAATATGTCATTTATTTGTAGCTGTGACTTCCCAAGGCTAAATAGTCATAAAATCAGTTTGGTCTTTGGAGCTAGAGCGCTTTTGATGATAACCTGACTGAGTTATCACCCTGTAGTTCAGTGACCCGATATAGGAGGAGTTTAGTCCTTGTAGAGCAGAGCTTTGCCACTGATCATTCTTTCTGCACATATGGTGTCATTTACCATGTACTTGGCATATCTTTGCTTCATGGCTTAGAAATATTTGGAAGGCCTAAGCAGTCTGTTTAGATCCATGTTAGAACACTTGAAAATTTTATGCAGTTATAAAATTACTGCTCAGATCCAGCTTCGAGACAACTTGAAGCAGTAATCCATATGTCAAATGAGGAAGGACTTTTTCACTGCTATTAAACACCAAATATATATAGTCTTTTTCACTTGGAAATTGCTGAACTAAAAATTAATTATTAAAATATTCCAGGTGGCTTCGGTTCAGATTTAGAGGTTGATCTGCCTCAAGAAAGGGGGCTGATCGGGAAAGCTACTTCCCGTTCAGCTCCAGTATTTCCTTTCTGTTGCAGTGAGACCTTCTCCTGCTATATCGTTTTGCATGCTCGGATTGGCATCTGCCCCATGTAGATCTCTTTTAGTGTTTGCACTTTCTCCCTGAGGAGGGAAGCGTGTTGCTTACAAAGATTTATTATCAATCATTTGAGAGAAGGGTGACTAGATTCTACTGCAAATTACTTGCCTTGGTGGTGTTTTTCGTGTATTTTGATTCCGTTGAAACCCATATAACACTCTTTTGGGAGATTGACAGGCAAAAATTAATTTATATTATAATTAGCTTTTCACAGAGAAATATTCTCTTCTTGCTGGCTTGCAGGCCAAGGAGAAAATGTAGACGGGCCTACATACATGCCATCACTGTCAGAGTAGATGCACTACTGTCAAGGGATAATCTAGGGCTTTTTTCTTCATTTGTTTAAAAATTAGAACTGATAATTTTTTTAGGATTGCTCTCTTTTAATCCGTGAAATGCTGAGTGTTTTAGTGAACTTTAAATTTTTAATTATATTTTTAATATTTTTAAATAGTGGAGTTTGTCTAGTGTCCATTTGAACAAATGCATCATATCAAATTAGAGATAAAAAGATGAAAATTAAAGTATAGAAAAGAGATTTGTGTTGTGAGAGCATCTTTATTTGTTTACTAAATACAGTTTTGAACAAAACAAGTTCTACATTTACGAATTTTTGTTAAGTTCAACTAGCAAATTTAATTCCAAAAGTTGGTCTGTTATCTGTGCTGTGTAACAAATTATAGCATAGTTTCTGTTGGTCAGAGATGTGGAAGTTGCTTGGCTGGGTGGTTCTGGCTCAGGGTCTTTGATGAGTCAAGATGTCAGCCAGCACCGAAGTCACCTGAAGGCAGGACTGGAGCACGACGGGGTCTGCTTCTATCGCGGCTCCCCCACAATGGCATTTGGCTCCTCACCATCGGACCTTTCCATAGGCTGCGTGAGTGTCTTCAGGGCATGGCCACTAGCTTCCTGCAGAGGAGCTCTGTAAGAGAAAGAGCAAGCGGGAGGCTGGAGCTATTCATAATCAGGACTCCACAGTTGTACTCTGTGGCTTGCACCTTTTTTCTATAGAAGTGAGTCATTAAGCTTAGCCTACACTCTAGAGGAGGAGAATTAGTCTTTACCTTTTGAAGAGAGTGTCAGAGAATTGTTGAATGTTTTTTAAACCACCACAGTTGGCCTAAAGGGGACATAGCAGATATTTACCTTCCCCCCCCCGCCCCCAAAAGTTTCAAAACTTTCAGTCAGTTTACGTCTGATCCTGAAGTATTCAAATCGAATTTCTGGATCACAGATTACTCAAATTCAAATGTAGAATTGTAGAATTTTGTATCCTCTTGTTCCCAGAAAGGAAGAAACAGAGGTGGACAAGGTGGTTCGACAATAGTGGTTGTGAGGCCTGTCACTGACCTTGTTTTAGCACAGACACCTCAGATCCCTCGACTTCGAGAGGTGCCCTTTTCCACCGTACTCTGGCTTATGTTCTTGGTGTTCCTCCCTCTCCCTCGTGTGTGGAGAAGTGGGCACCAGAGCATCGAAGCGTAGCTAGACAGTTATCCCCGGGTTCCATTTTCTCTGCATAGCTGAAGGAAGAATTTTAATGCAAACATAACTTTTCCCGTAACTTCTAAGAAACAGATTCTTTCTCTGCCAAGAGAGGTTTAGTGAGATTATGCTCTATTTCTTGATATGGCAGAATTCCAGGCAAATGTGTGAAGGAGTGAGCCATAGTGCCATATGGAATCTACAAAGACCTGCGTTGCCGGCTGCCACCTTGAAACACTTAAGATAAGTGGGTTTCTTAAACCTCCTAAGTGTGTTTTTAGTTTTTTTTAAAAAAATCCCTTCTTAAAAACTGCATAAAGTAGCTTGGTATCTCTGGAATAGTGAGGTAAAACATCCTTTAGGAAAAATTCTTCAGGCCTAAATGTGAATGAGTTGACAATTCTCAGAAAAATTAGTCTTGCGACAAAACTAATTGGAGTTGTGTTTATTTTCAGCAATGCTTATTTTCTGATTTACTAGTCTTTGGCTGTTTTGTTTTAATTTTTCAGTTTGCTTTTGTAGCTGTGACCAGTGTCTCCGCTGTACCTTCCTACCTCCTTTTTCACAATGACACTCACAGGATATTTAAACATTTTAGAAGATTGCACACATGCAAAAAAGTGCTTGAGAATGTTTGTTTTCCTCTTCCCAATCAAAATTTCTGTTTCAGGTTCTTCTGCAGCTTGGGCTGGGGCTGCCAATGCCAGATGGCACCGTTTCTGAGAAAAGAGCTAGCTTTTGCTTAGAAGTAATACCCACAAACAATGCCAAATTAGCATAAGCAAATGTCAGTGCGTTAACACAAAGCCAACACTCTTTCTATCTTTTCTTTCCTTCCTAGGCCATGGGTGTTGAGAGTGACCAGGAAATTGTACAGATGATTGGAACAGAGGAGCACGTGATGGCTGCATTTGGACCCAGTTTGGAAGAGTGCCAGAAAGCTCAGATTTTCACACAGATGCAGGTGTGTCTTTTCATGTCGTCCTTTGCTGTGAAAGGGAATTGGAGATTTAGTGCTGCTCATGCATAAAGCATCGATGCAGTGACTTCTTGGGGTGTAGGTGTGGGAGGAGTTGGGGAGTTGGGAGGAACAGTAGAGAAGCTTCTTTGACTTGTGTTTTAGGAATTGGAGGAAGGAGTTTGTCTTGATAAATTATCGGCCTATGGTGTCTAACTTAGAAGGGGGATATGTGTCCAAGAGGCTTTTGTTCTAATATAATAGCAAGTACTCTTTTTTCACTTATTCGCCTGAGTGATATATGTTTTTTTTTTGGGGGTTTTTTTTTTTTTTTTTTAAGATTTATTTATTAGAGAGAGTGAGTACGCGCCCAGCAAGCACACAGCAGGAGGGGCAGAGGGAGAGAGAATCCCAAGCAGACTCCGCACTGAGTGCAGAGCCTGATGTGGGGCTCCCTCTCACGACCCTGAGATCATGGCCTGAGCTGAAACCAACAGTCACTTAACCTACTGCGCCACCCAGTTGCCCCAATATATGTTTTTGAACAACAGCAAGTCTAGTGTAGATTTCTTTTCCTGCATTTCTCCTCAATTTCTCTTTTTATTCCCTACTTCCGGTTGCTTTCAGTGTTCAGTTGTATGTGGTCTCAGCCCCTTTTTCTGAATTCCCAGTGTCATCAGCAAGAAAAGCCAGGCTCGGGCGCCTGGGTGGCTCAGTTGGTTGGGCGACTGCCTCCGGCTCAGGTCATGATCCTGGAGTCCTGGGATCAAGTCCCGCATCGGGCTCCCTGCTTGGCAGGGAGTCTGCTTCTCCCTCTGACCCTCCCCCCTCTCATGTGCTCTCTCTCTCAGGTAAATAAATAAAATCTTTACAAAAAAAAAAAAAGAAAAGAAAAGCCAGGCTCAGAAACCCTTTACCAGAACAGAGCCTTCGTCAACCTGCTAAAGAACTCCTAGCTGGAACTTGGGCATTTTAGGACAAGATTAGTTCCCCACTGTCATATATATGCTAAACATAACAAAAATAATAAATAATAATAAAAATAATTGTACTTCCTGCCCTTGTGACAGGGAGCTCTCACAGCCACACTTCAGATGCTTAGTCCCACATTCGTAAAGTACTTTGCTAAGTATCAGTCAGTGGCGGCCTCATAGCCATCCTGGGAGGTAGGGAGTCCTGCTGGAGAAGCACCACAGACAGTTCTTACTTACCCATGTGTACACTGTCTAGTCTGTGGGTTACTTACAACGAGGTATAAATTCCAGGCTGCTTTTTTCTTGTTACTCAGGATGCTTATAGAGTTAGCATTTTCCCACTTACATCTGTTAGTGTATGATCTGAAAATCACACCACTATTGATATTTTCATGGACTGAGCCAGACAGACATTTAAAGTTAATCATCCTATGTAAGTGTATATAATTCCAAAGCACAAATCAGTAGGGATTATTCTTATCCCTGCCTCCTTCTTTTGATGCAGCTGAGTAAGAGTCAACTCAAGTTCTTGGGCAGGGCAACATCAGGAGAAGTTGGGATTTAGGAGCTTCTATTTTTGGTCTTTATTGAAAATGAAATATTTAGGGAGCATGAGTCTTTGTTACGAACTGGAATTATATTGTCCAAGGGTTCTAAGAACATGAAGAGGAAATATAAAGAAATACCCAGGAGTTGGCTCAATTTGGGGAGATACACTCTCTCCTTTAAAGCCGTGTAATGCTCGGGAAGAGCAGTTTACCTTCATGATCCCTCAGTGGATTCAGTGAGATCCATTTTTCCTTTTATAACAAACAGCATCATTGTTGCTCAGATAGCTCTATAACCCTAGCATTGTAAAGCTGGGTGAGCAGGGCTAAATAGTGGGTTACAAATCATTTATTTCTCCTAAATAGGTGCTGACAGAAAATGTTAGCTAACTGAATGAGAGAAGTTCAGTTCAGGATGGGAGTATGCAAACGGGGGTGTAAGATTGACATCGCTCATACTGTATGCTGGATTAGAGCACAGATTAATAATTTGCAACTAAGAAGAGGCTTTCGAGGCATGGGTAATCCAAAATGGTTGATAAGTGGAACATAACGAGTTCGGGCAATGTGGATATTGTATGTTTTTCTAAGTGAGCTTGCTTTATCCGGTACTGGTCCCTACTTACTGCTAGGTCGCTGCGGCAAGGGTTGGCACATCTGAGTTTATCTTACGCTCTAGAGGACACTAAATGGAGAGGATCCTAGGTCTGATGTCCCGATCTTACCACAGAGGAGTTCCATTCCTTTCCCGGCCCTGAGCTAGTCATCAGGAATCAAAGAAAAAGATGACGCAACATCTAGTAGAAGTGACATACCTGTAAATAGTTAAAATATAGTGTGGTCTGAAGCGGAATGAAAGCACTTAGTTCTTTCTACGTAGGGAATTCACAAAGCAGAGAAAAAGGAGTGGGGTGAGGAAGTGACACCTGAACTAGGTTTTGAATCACAGAAATTTCCCAGGCACATAATCATGGACAGGAATTCCAAGATAAAGAATCAGGAATCCCAGACCTTTCTTCTGAGTAACTGAAAGCCAGTTTAAAAAAAAAAAAAATGCATTCATTGTTGTTAGAAAATTGTCCTCTTCTTTAAAAACTTTTTATCGTGGATAAACTTCAACATACACAAAGTATACAGAAGAGTATTATGAACCCTCCTGTGCCCATCACCCAGCTTCAATAATTACCAACACTCTGCCATTTTTGTTTCATCTAAATCTCCACCTACTCCTCACACCCACTATTTGATTAGTTTTTAATACTTCATTTTTTAGGTAGAATTTATGTGTGCTGAAATGTACAAATGTACATAATTTTGCAGAAGATGTAGAATATTTTTCCATTACCCCGGGAAGTTCCCTCATGTCCCTTCTTAGTCCTTTTCACCTCCCTCCTCTGATTTTCTTCCCTGCTGTTCTGATTTTTCACTACAGGTTAATGTTGCCTATTTTAGAACTTTATGGAATTGTGAAGAATATACTCTTTTTGCGTCCAGTTTCTTCTGCTGAGTGTACCGGGTGATATTTTATGTCATTTGTCCATTATTGCTGAGTAGTATTCCATTGTATGACTGTGCCACAGTTTATCTTTTCCTGTTGATGGACATTTCGTTTTTTCACTCTGGGTCTTATGAATAAAGTTACTATAAACATTCCTGTACAAGTCTTTGCCTGAACAGGTCAGCATGTCTCTTGGATAAATACCTACAAATAGGATTGCTGGATCAAAGAGCAGTTGTGTACGTAACTTTTATAACTGCTAAACCTTTTCCCAAAGTAATTGTATCATTTTGCAGTCCGTTCTCCCCTCACCCCCCCCCCCCCCCCCCCCCCGCCGCCCCTCAGTGTGTGAGAGTTCTGATTGCTTCATGTCCTCACTGACATTTGGTCTTGGTCCGTCTTTTCAACTTTAGCCATTCTACTAGGTATTGGGTGGTGTCTATACTGCTTTGGTTTTAATATGTATTTCCCTGATGACTAATGATGTTGGACACTTTTCGTGGACTCACTAGTGACTTTGTGCATTAAGTATCCAAATCTTTTGCTTGTTTTCCTCACTGAGTTGTCTTTTTATTTTTTTTATTATTTTTTTTAAAGATTTTATTTATTTATTT